AAAAAAAAAAAAAAAAAAAAATACTTTTGCTATGGGAACAGAAATGACACAATACAGCCTATGTTACAACCACTACTCACAGAACAAGAAGACATGAACGATAGAGCCCACTAATTTGGATTAAGCTCTGCCAACTACAGGTCCTCGGGCAGCTTTCCTCCGGCCACAATGCTGTTCTAAGGCTGGGAGTGCATTTCCAAACTTACCCAAGAACAGACATCAAGGCATAGTCTGCCAGGAGAAGCACTCAGGATTGACAGTGAAAGCTGAGCAGGAAATAAAGAAGGCAGTCTGGGTAGGAGGGGCGTTAAGGAGATTAGGAAGGGACTCACACTTCTGACCTGTAGATATTAATCAGGTGGGAACACGGCATCTCTGGCTTAATTTATCTGTGGTCAGGACCACAAAGTCCAAATTAAACTATATTCCTAAATTTTACTATCTGGGAATGTTCATGTGATTGGAAGTGTACTCCCTTAAACTTGTAAGCATCTGCAAATATGCAGAGATTTTTTTTTTTTAAATGAGAGCAAACTAATACTATAAATGGGATTTTAGATAATGTACCCATATGTCATAGTTAAGATGATCAGAGTGGGAAAAGATTTTTAAATATCATTCCAGATACTGAAGTTGAAGGAAAATACTCCATCAACAAGAGGATCTACAAAATATCTCCATAAACCTTCAACCATGAACTTTTGTTTTTCGTGCTTTCATTTACTTAAGATTATAATTATTCTAATTTACTGACACTTATTTCCGTTTAGGCCTCCCTACACTTTAAAAACTATTAATTAGTTTTGACAGACCCTCAGCAAGTTTTTACTATTAAAATCCTTAATATAAAAGACTTCTGCGATCCTTCCAAGAAAAAGAAAGCACACTACTGTTTTTTTACTTTATGTATTTTTTGAAATATTAATGGTCAGATGTTTCGCTTGCTAAAGAAAAATATAATATGATCTAGTTTCCCAAAATTGAAATAATTAATAAAAATAAAAAACAGTATTTACACAGAGCCTGAAAACCTAAAGAGAACGCTGAATCTAAGATCCTAAAGAAGAGAAAACTGCATTGTAAATAAGTTCAAATTGAAATTTTGGAAATTTTTCTCACGTACCCCCATGCTATTTATTAATTACAATATTTAAAAAATTATGGTACAAAGAGGATTTATCCCACACATCTCTTCTTCACTCAGGTCAGCTTGGCTTTCTTCTTAGCAGGTCCTTTGTGCCCTTTGGCCTTTCTTCTTAAATTCCGCCTGTCCACCACAGGCACTTCCACTTCCATCTCCTCCGAGCTGCTATCCACTGCTTTCTCTGCAGACGGCGTAAGCTGATCCAGTTGCTCCGATGATGCTTCAGACTGCTCCTCTGACTGGTTCTTCTGTCCTGCATTCTGTGAAAATGGCACATCTTCAAGTTCAACCTCTATCACAGAACTCTGAGAAAGAGCAGTAGAGGCTTCCCGGGGCTCAGTGCCCGCCTCACCCTGATCTTCCAATGATGAAGTAGTGTTGGGTAATAAATTCTCAGAGACCGGTTCTTCAGACAATTCCGGTATCACAGAGTTAGGAAAATCACTGTCAACTCGTTCTTCAATATTGTCTGAATTCCCCAAGTGTGCCTTCTTTTTTGGAGCTGGAGGTAGTTTCTCCTCAGTGAATGCCTTGTCATCAGATGTGCCTTGGGCTATCAACATTTCTGAGTCAGCTATGAGTGGGGTCTGAAAATAAAATCTTGATCAATAAGCTTTTCCAGTACAATTCTAAAATGAATTATTCTCAGACATTAACATGCCATGACAATAAATTCAGTATTCATTGTTTCATTAATCATCTATACATACTCTGCATATAATCTAAATTCCTTGCAATTGTTGCCTGGTAATTTTTAATTAAACTCTTATCTCATAGATATAATACGTCAAGATTCTTCAAAACCATGAATCACTAATTTTTTTAGTATCCTAGAGTCACTGGAGCCAAAATAAAAAATACTTTGGGACATAATCCCCACTAAATTTCACTCTTGTTCCATTGCATGATAGGCAAAGGCAATGTAAGTTTTATTCACTGATTTAAGTAAGACATAATAAAATAATCACAATGGTTTTTAACCGTGAATTATTTTTTTCTAAAGTTAAAATTATTTTAAAATACTCCATCAAGTTATTTTTTTAACAAATCTGTCTTCCTATTAAAACAAGTTAAATTAGTGCTTTGGACAGAGACCATGTAAGCAGTAAGGACTCAAAATATTTGGTAAATCATGTTCAATCATTTTTTTCTAAGCTTTCTCTAAGTTTTCAATTTTTTTTGGGGGGGGTGCAGGGTCTCACTATGCACCTCAAACTTGCTCTGGGACTACAGGCAAATTCATTTATCATAAGGCAGATGATGACTTTTCTTTTAACCGATGACAGAGATTGAGCCCCACAAGAGAAACATATATCAAGGTTACAAAGATTTGAACTTACAGAATATTACTGAGGATATTTTCTTACAATATCAAATATAAAATCAAAATTTTTGTAAAGAAAAGAGCTGTCAAGATAAAAGAAATACAGACTACAATACTAGCACTTTCATAAAATAAGGTTATTCGTGCCTTACTTTATCTAGTGCCCCAGTCTCAGCTTTTGAAGGCTCTGCCACCAGAACACTATTTACAGCATCTTCACTGGAATTAGAAGACTGCAGTTTCAATCCTTCTTGTTCACTACCAGAGTCGTCCTCTTCAGTTACAAGTGAGGTCTTAAGAGTATCATCCAGTATCTCACCATTCATAGGTTCCACTTCAGAATCCTACACCAGGGGAGGAAAGTAGGACATGTTTAAACACTAAGTTATTTCTTATAACTGATGGGGCCCTTTTGGGTTCCTGTGTGTCACCTATCAGGAACTGCAATGGATTTAGAAAACAGTATCATTAACTACTATTTAACTCTGTTTTAAAAAATTCTTACTAGAAGGAAAGGAAAACTTGAGAGACAGGGTCAAAAGAGAATGCATGAAGAGCTCATTTTCCCACCATTCTGGAAACAGGGTAGAGCCAGGATGCTCTGTAGACAGACACTCAGAGAAGACACACTGCCTGTACTTCTTAAAGGAGGAGCCCTTTCAGTAAAGAGGCATCAATAAGAGATATAGGGGAAAATGAAAAAATAATTAAAAAAAAAAAAAAAAAAAGATAATGACGGCTCCTTAAGGAGCACCTGCTGTTCAGAACCTGGAATCTTTTGGGCCTATGGAAGTTACTGTTTACATTACTAGGAGGGCCAAGCAACAGCAGTCTCACAGGCAGCTGAGTTTGAGGGATGCTTCTTTGGGGGGAGGGAGACAGCTCCATGTGCAGGCAGTTCACTGTCATTCAACTGAAGTAATTTCTAAACAACACAGTTCCTTTCATCATAGTACCAAAGTATGGAAAGGTGCACTGGCAACACAAATCAACCAATTTCTGAAATTCTTCCAAAGTTTATCAGTTAACTTCTATTTAATATCAAATATTTCTAATTAATCCTAGTGAATTTTTCTTTTCTGGTTTTAAGACAGGGTCTCACTATATAGCCATGGGCCACCATGAGGTGCCCTTAAGGACATGATAGTAATTAGAAATTTTAACCAGGGGAGATAGCTTAGCAGCATAAATGCCTGTCTGGCAAGCATAAAGGTGGGGGAGTTTGCTCCCCAGGCCTGCAGTGCCAACTCCACCCCTGGGGGGCACTGAGATGACAAATGAGACCAGGTGTGGTGGCAAGTGCCTGTAATCCCAGCACTTGGGAGGCTGTAAACAGGTGGATCACTACCAGTCCAAGTCCAATCTAGTAGTGAGACCCTGAACACCCTATAGACCCTTCCCTAAAATACAGAAGAAAATAAAAATAATACTAATTTAAAAAAAAAAAAGACTAAACCACAGAACAACTACAAAATAACCTCACCTGAAGGTTTCTAGAGTTACTCTATCACAGTGTCTGGGTGGGAGACAGCCAGGAGAAAGTCACAGAGAGGACGTGGGCTAGACATAGGTCCTCTGAGAAGTTCAAATTTAGCTCAAGCACCTACTACCTAAGACAAGAAGTCAGACCGGCCTGCCATGTGCAGCTTTCAGATGTGGCTGGGTCTGAGAGTGGTGGTATTAATTCCAGTGGTCTGCTTGAACCACTACCCCACTGTCCATATCTAGCACAGAGACCAGTGGTCTGATTACTTTTTCTATCTGCCAACATACACAAGGACACACCTGGGCTTGGAAGGTTGCCAGAGTGTGAGGTATATGGACAGAGTGGCCTCTGGATCGGCTCACAAACCCACACCTTAAAGCTAGGTGGAGAAAGCTCTGACTTGGGTTGCAAGACTGCAGACCCTAAAAAGAAAACACTCATTCAAAAATATACAGAATTTTTTTTTACTCATTTCCTTTTTTCCAAGTTTTTAATGTTAATTTTAAATTTTTTTCTTTTTCTTCTCTTGTTACTTGTATGTATTTCTATAAATTTTCGTTTCTTCTTTAACAGACTTTTATTTCATTCTCCCTTTTTTTCATGTTCCATTGCCTAAATCTTTCAAATTTTACTTCCTTCATTCAAGTTCCCCAAAACTATCTTTCATTAATAAAACCATCAAAGAGGGCTTGCCCCTTAGCTCAGTTCTTTAAGTGGTTGCTTCAACAAAGTAGTCAGCTTCAGGTTGCTGTGGTTCAATCCCCAGAACTCAAGCCAGCCAAACCTGCTCTGAAGGCATTCAGAGCCAGACAGAAAAATAAACAAATAAATAAATAAAACCATTAAGCTTCTTCATAAGCATCACATAATTCTAAACTTTTACGGTTGAGTATTTTTTTCTACTGTTAGTGGAGGAATAGTTGTTGAATTTACTTGATACTTACTGTTATGTTAGTATCTGGTTAATCTTAAAGATTTGTACTATAATTATAGACCTCTTCCCTATGGTGAAAAGTAGTACATTATTAGTTTTAACGGAATGTCAATATCTGATTTTTGTTTGATGCTATTATTATTGCTGATTTTGTTACTGCCAGGGTGGCACAGCTGCTGCTATTAAGGGATTTTATTTTTATGCTAATATCTGCATAGCCTTCATGGATCATTCCTGGAAAAATGGATGCCGGGCCAATTGCACTGTATCCTCCCCTCCCAAATTAACAGAGGTAGTTAGATCTTTGGACAGGGTATAAAAGCCTATAGTCAGCAATATCCAGAGTACAACCCAGAAAAGCAGATGCTAATAAACAATGTCACCATACTAGCAACAAAATCTTTGCACTATAATTGAAGCAGAAAGCTCAAAAGAAAAAACAAAACATGAGAAGACAAAGTTAAAAAAAAATCTTCCAAAAGCCACACAGCTGAATTGCTCAAAATGATAAAATAGGAGTTTAAAAAGATGAATAAGGTGACAGATAGTGTAATAAATCTGAACAATGAAAATTTAAACTATACCAAATTTCTTTTTTTTTTTTTAATTTTGGAAAATCTGGAAAGTTAGCTTGTTCTAGTAGAGGCTATGCTCTGTAATTCCTTTTAGATTTTTTTTTTTTTAACATTTATTTATTTATTGTGTGTGTGTGTGTGTGTGGCCAGCTCAGCCCACGAGGGGGCGGGGCTGGCTGGCATGTGGTGCTGGGGGATCGAACCGCGGTCCCTGGGCTTTAGCCAAGCTTGTTTCAAGTAAGTGCTTTAGACCACTGAGCCATCTCGCCAGCCCCTATACCAAATTTCTTAACACAAACTTTAAAGGGCATGACAGCTTGGAGTGAAATGTTTTAAGTCCTAAAAGAAAACAACTTTCAACACAGAATGATGTATCTTGCAGAACTATCTTTCAAAACTGACTGGGTGGGGCCGGGGAGATGGCTCAGTAGAATAAGCACTTGCCTGGCAAGCACAAGGGCCTGAGTTCAATCCCCCAGTTCTGCAAAAAGAAAGAAAGAAAAAAAATAAATAAAAAATTAAAACTGACTGGGTACCACAGGCCTCGCCGGCCCCAACCCCAAGGCGCACTAAGCATGCAACCAAGTTTGGGTGTGGTGGCGCACACCTATAATCCCAGCAGTGGGCAGGCTGAAAACAGGAGGATCACTATGAGTCCCAGTGTAGTGAGACCCTGTACTAAATATATTAAAAAATATAGAAAGAGAAACAAGGTATTTCCATGACAAAGAGCACCATGTTAATATGGTTATAAAGACCATATCTGCACCCCAAAAATTTCTCACATATATCCTAGAAAAAGAAAATGAAGTTAACGATGCTAAAAAGACTAATAGAATGAATATACCATGCACGATGAGCAGTTACACAAAATGGAAAAAAGGAGCAATCTGCAACAAGAATATAATGGGATGCCAAGAGTAAGTCAATACTGTTGAACACTAAATCTCAGTTGACCAAGCAAAATATGTAAACAGGCAGAATGAATCAAGAAACAAAATCCAACATTATTCAGTATACAACAACACAAAATTCTAAAAGAAATTCACAGACTAGTATCAAAGGATGGCAAATATACTCAACGGGATGAAAATAAGCAATAGCTTATCCTAACATATCCAAAATAGTTATCCTATTTTCAGATGAACTGGACTTCAAACCAAAATTGATCAGAAGAGACAAAGAAAGTCATTACATACTGGTTAAGAAAACAATTCAACAAGAAAGAGTAACTATTATAAACATGAATGCACCACACAACAGGGTACTCAAATTTCATAAAACAAACATATTAGACATTAAAGATCAAACATTTGGGGCCTGAGTTCAATCCCCCGTTCTGCAAATAAATAAATAAATAAATAAATAAATAAATAAAACATCAACACAGCTTTAGAGAAAAAGCTTAATATCCCACTATCACAACATAGATGAACTAGACCAACCCCCAAATACCCGACAAAGAAATATCAGAGTTTGAACAAATGGACTCAATAGATAGAAAGCATTCCACTGACAAAAACAACGTTCTTCTTAGCAGCACATGGAAAGAGATCACACACTAACCCATAAAGCATGCTTAAGGAACTACAGAAGAATCAAAATTCTCCAATGTATATTATCATAGCACAATGAAACTAGAAGTTAAAAACAAAAGAAACCATAGTAATTATGCAAACACATGGAAATTAAAACATACTTCAATAAAAACGTTGCTCTTGAGCTAAGCAATGGGTCACAGAAGATATCAACCAAGAAATTTCAAGGAACAGTTGCAGTATCAAATGTAGTGCTACTACAACATACTAGAACCTATGGGTCACAATGAGCAGTCCTGGGGGGTGGTTTACAGCTCTGGATGATCACATAAAAAAAGACTGAACCAATAAAAACAACCTATTATGCTCCTTCAAATCTAAGAAAAACATGAAACAATTTAATCTAAAGCTAGAACAAGGAAGGAAATTACATACAAAGATTAGAGTACAAATTCACAGAACTGAGACTAAGAACAATTCAACATTGTTAGAATGTAAACTACTATGGAAACCAATATGGAGATTCCTCAAAAACTAAAATACAAATTCCATCTGACCCAGCTATACATCTTCTAGGTATCTTCTCCAACAAGTTACAGATAGCAGATGACAGTGGCATGTTAACAGCAGCACAGGTCACTTTATCTAAATCTTGTAAGCTGTCTGTATGTCCATCAACAGATGAACTCATAGCACTACCTTGCCACAGCCAAGGCTAAATATGAATTACTGTAGGAAAATGAATGCACTTCAAAACCATGTTAAGTGAAATCATGTAAATTTAAATACGGCATGATTTCTCTTATAAGAAACCCAAAATATAAAGAGCAAAACAGATTTAAAAAAAGAAAGAAAATAGGGCTACAAAAAAAAAAAAAGAAAGAAAGAAAAAGAAAATAGGGCTACAGATATTTTGCCAAGAGATGGAGGGAATGGGAAAGGAGAAGAAAAGTGGGTGAAAAAAGAATTAAAATGTGTTATAGAGGGGCCAGGGAGATGGCTCAGTAGAATAAGTGCTTGCCTGGCAAGCGCAAGGGTCTAAGTTCAATCCCTGGTTCTGCCAAAAATAAACAAACAAAAAAAGCATTATAGCCATGTCCCACTCCCTCAGCATGTAATCATTATGTACTGCACACATACACTAGTAAGATAAAAAAGTTTAAGTGAAAATTTTCCTGGTCTGGCCAAATAGCTCAGCGGATTAAAGCACCTGCAAGCAGGTTTAAGGGCTGGGGGTTTAATCCCCAGGCCTGCTGTGCCAGCCCCTCCCTGAGAGCAGGCTGAGATGGCAATTGAGACTGTGGGTGGTAGCACACACCTATAATCCCAGCATTTGGGAGGCTGTAAACAAGAGACTCACTGAGTCCGATCTAGCAGCGAGACCCTGAACACCCCGTAAACCCTTCCCTAAAATATTGGGGGGGGATTTCATATAGTTAATATATATTTATTATTATTTTTTAAATTTTTTTATTTTTTAAAAATATTTATTATTATAACAGGTGGGTGGCATACAAAATCATCTGCACACAGAAGATGATTACACTAATTCACAAAAGGACCAACCAGAAGAGAAATATTGCAAGAATGAAAACAAGAAAGTCAGAACACAAGTTGAAAAAAATGGAATTATAGTAATCAAATGTAGAAAGGAATGGACCAGGAAGATAGTTCAGCAATCTAAAGCACCTGCTAATAAATAAAGAAAGAAAGAAAGAAAGCACGCACGCACGCACCTGCTTAGGCAAGCTTAGGCAAGCCCAGGGATTACAGTTCAATCCCCAGCACCACCTGCCACACCAGCCCCACCCACAGGGCAAGTTCAGCAGGAGGGAAAAAAAAAAAAAAGTACAAAGCTCAAGAAGAGAAAAATTAGGGCCAGGGAGATGGCTCAGTAGAATAAGTGCTTCCCTGGGAAGTGCAAGGGCCCAAGTTCAATCCCCGGGTCTGCCAAAAAAATAAAAAAATTTACTCCTCCTAATTTTAGATTCAAGAACAAAATGGAAGAAAAAAAGAAAAGAAATACAACAAGTGTCAATATGGTTTTAAAAAATAGATTTTAAGAGGATAATCATCTGCCTTTATAGAAATATTCTGTGGGCAACATACATTACAGAACTCAAGGCAATATCAGCATTACAAATCTTGCCACTGGCTTCCTCACTCAAATATTAAGGGATTAGATGGGTATGTTTTCAAAACAGAGGATGAGGGGCTGGTGAGATGGCTCAGTAGTCTAAAGCACCTACTTAGAACAAGCTTAGCAAAGCAAAGGGACCACGGTTCAATCCCCCAGCACCACATGCCAGCCCGCCCTGCTCCCTGGTGGGCTAAGCTGCCCCCCCCACAAATAAATAAATAAATAAAATTAAAAAAAAAAAACAGAGGATGAGCCAAAGGTGAAGCGTGAGTTTTCTGAAACTGGGCGAGGTGGTGCACGACTGTAATCGTAGCTCTTGGGAGGCTGTAAACAGGCAGATCACTACCAATCAAGTCCAACTGAGACCCTAAATACCCTGTAGGCCCTTCCCTAAAATACAAAAAAGAATTAGTTTTCTGGGCTGGGGAGATAGCTCAGCAGCTTAAACGCCTGCTTGGCAAGCAAGCACAAGGTCCAGAGTTCAATTCCCCATACTGAAAAAAACAAAAAAAACAAACAAACAAAGAAAAAAAACAAAAACAAAACAAAAAAAAAAACAAATTCTAGAACATCCACAACAAGGGAGAAAAGCAGCAAAGTGTCAAATATACATATACACATATGGAGGTAGACATAAATAAATATCAAACTTCAGTAATTAAAAAAAACACTAGGAGAGGACCAGCAGATACCTCAGTGGATTAAAGTGCCTGCTTATGCAGATGCAGGGACCAGGATTCCATTCCCAGAGTGACATGCTGGCCCCACACCCGGGGCGCACCGAGACACTGATTAAGACTGGGCATGGTAGCATGCACCTGTAATCCCTACGCTTAGGAGGCTGAAAACAGGAGGATCACTACAAGTCAATCTGTGTAGTGAGACCCTGTAGACTACGTACTAAAATACATTACACAAACAAATGAACAAACACTAAGAAAATCATAACCATACTAAAATACATTAAACAAACAAATGAACAAACAATAAGAAACAAAATCATAATAATAAGTATTATAAAGCCATGAGTTTGGAGATCTTTAAGAAAGGAGAATAGTCAACCCCAATAAGAGAGGCACTGGAATTAAAATGGACATTGTCAATTATGTCCTACAAGAACACATGTTGAGCTATTCAGCTTCCTTTCCTTTCCCTTCCTTTCCCTTCCTTTCCCTTCCTTTCCCTTCCCTTCCCTTTCCTTTCCCTTTCTTTCTTTCTTTCTTGTGGCCAGCTCAGCCACAGCTGAGTCCTGGGGGCAAGGCTGGCCAGCATGTGATGCCAGGGGATCGAACCATGGTCCCTGAGCTATGCCTAACAGGTGCTTTAGATCACTGAGTTATCTCACCAGCCCCATGTTCAACATCTTGCTGAATGAAATAATTACAAGATCTACAGCATACTATAATACACTACCATTATGTTCCTAATATTTAAGAGTGGGATAAAATTTACATAATTATATATTATATATTTTCCCATATGTTTATTTTTATTTTTTATGAATTTAGTACAGGGTGTACAGGGTCTCACTACATAGACTGGACTCACAATGATTCTCCTGTTTTCAACCTCCCAATTACAGGTGCGTGCCACCACGACCAGTGAGAGGTGGGGGCCAGCATAGCACACCAGGGATCAAACCCCAGCCACCGGGCTCTGCCAAAACAGGTGCTTTAGTCCACTGAGCTATCTGGCCAGCCCTTCCCATACACATTTAAGTACATATAAATACTGTTTTTTTCCATATGTACTGTTATGTTTCCAATTTTCTCTAAGAAAATACACCATATTGAGCAAGGGAAATAGCCAGTGGCGTTAAGTGCCTGCCTGGTAAGTACAAGGTCCCAAGTTCCATACCCAGTACTGATACAAAACAACAACAAAAAATTTAAAATACAATTTCATGAAGCAGAAGGAAAAGCTAGAATGGAGTGACTTTAAAAAAAACAGTATTCGGGCCAGGGAAGTGGCTCAGTGGAATAAGCGCTTCCTGGCAAGCGCAAGGGCCTGAGTTCAATCCCCGGTATTCACCAGGTGTATAATCTTGGGAAACACTTAAAATTTTCAAGAACTCAAGTATATATCAAAGATACAAGGAATGGGAGAGCAAAAAGGATTTATAATATTAAGAGAAAAAGGGTAAAACCCTGAGGTGATCAAGGTCTCAAAATGATCAAAGCCATAGAATGTCAGCAGTTCATTTATCTGTGCACGCCAAATGGATCCTGGGGAAGGTGACTGATACAGTAATGCAAAAAAACCGCTGAAGTGAGAGTGACCAGACTTGTTCTGGATCCCTACTTATTAAAGTATTTTAATAAGCGGAAAACCTACTTTGCTCATGATGCCCTTCAGCAATGCACTGTTGGAGATATTGCACTTCTCAAAGCTTTACCTGTTCCACGAACAAAGCACGTAAAACATGAACTGGCTGAGATCCTCTTCAGAGTGGGCAGAATAAGATATCCAGTATCAGGAAAACCCTGTGCAGGAACGAGCTACGTGGAGAGTCCAATCAGTTTGGAAACCTCTCAGCTCAGTAAAACTCGAAGAACTCAACATCTTTTCAACACAGTGAAGGGTAGGAAGGAGGAGACAGGGAAAGATTTCTAAATTTAATTACAACTATGTCAAATTTTCTTGTAGCATTAATGAAATAGTAAACGACTTGTTACAATTTTTAATTTAAAAAAATTACAGAAAAAGGAAAGGAAATTAAAAATATGAGGGTATGGATAAATACTTGAGGAGCTTCAGGAATCAAAGCAGAAAAATAGTTAAGTTACAAAGGGTTTGTCTGTTCTCACCTACTTGAAGAAAGTTTTACTTACTTGTAACCGTAAGAACAACTTTGCTCATTTTTTTTTTTTTCCTCAGAATAACTCAGGGGGCTGGAGAGATGGCTCAGTGGTCTAAAGCACCTACTTAGAACAAGCTTGGCAAAGCATCAGGGACCGCGGTTCGATCCCCCAGCAC